CTACAAACCTTTAAGAGTTAATTGAATACATTCACCAGTTAAATCGGCCAATACAGCCATTGTATTAGCATAGTTCAAAAACTAATACCACCTTTGTCATTTCCTTACAAAAGAGGCACACCCTATGTATAGCAGCACGTGTTTACCCATGGGCACACGTGTGTCCTGGCACAGAGAGACGCCCAGCGCAAGGACTCGGAATCAGGTTCTCATCTGTGCAGGCTCAGGTCTGAAATTACCATTATTCAAGTTTAATTTATTAGGTATAGCCCTGTGAGCCATGCAGCTCTTAAGTCGGGTGCAACCGCAACAAACAAAATTTGAACACAACATCTTAAAGCGACAACGCATAACAGAAACATCCTGGAATAAACCAGCAAATATTCCACACAAAAAAACAAACGTATTAAAACGCTGTGTGCAAAAATCAATGTGGTGCAAGCCAACAACAACAACCATAAGACAATTTAGATTGACCATATGTTTTCGAATCACCAAAATAAAGCTATAAAAAACAATGTAACAACAGTAATCATATGAACTGTGATTTTAAATTTAACAATAAACGATATACATAACACGTATGACAAAAACCTGCAGCCATAGCTGGCAGCGCTACACTCCAAGTGTATGATGTGTGAGTGAGTTAGCAGCAGCGTGAGTGAGTCTATGATGTGTGAGTCAGCGCACGATGTGTTAGCGTATGATGAGTGAGTCAGTGTATGATGTGTGAGCGAGTGTATGATGTGTGAGCGAGTCAGCAGCAGCGTGAGTGAGTGTATGATGTGTGTCGGCGCACGATGTGTTAGTCAGCGCATGATGAGTGAGTGAGTGTATGATGTGCGAGTGAGCCAGCACACGATGAGTGAACCTGTGTATGATGAGTGAATGGGTCAGTGGTTGTGCGACTGTATGATGCGTGAGTAAGCGCATGATGAGCGAGTCAGTGCATGATGTGTGAGTGAGTCAGTGCATGATGTGTGAGTGAGTCAGTGTATGATGTGTGAGTGAGTCAGTGCATGATGTGTGAGTGAGTCAGTGTATGATGTGTGAGAAAGTCAGTGTTGGCTCCCTCTGCTCGCGCCGTCACCCCCCCCCCCGGCTCCGTCGCCCCCCCCGGCTCCGTCGCCCCCCCCCGGCTCCGTCGGCCCCCCCTGTCTCCGTCGGCCCCCCCTCCGGCTCCGTCGGCCCCCCCCTGGTTCCGTCGCGCCCCCCCAGCTTCGTCGGCCCCCCCCCACTCCGTCGGCCCCCACTGGCTCCGTTGCTCCCCCCGGCTCCGTCGCCCCCCCCCTCAGCTCCGTCGGCTCCCCCCCCCGGCTCCGTCGCCCCACCCCCCCCCCCCCGGGCTCCGTCGCCCCCCCCCGGCCCCGTCGGCCCCCCCCCGGCCCGGGAGCGCCCCGGGAGCGTGCACGCCTCAGGCGGCCATCTTGCTGATTAGAGAAAAAATGCACCCAGGGCTCGAACTCCCAATTTCATTGGTGCTGGCTAGAACATGTCAATTCTGATGAGCTAAAATAACCCATTTACAGGGCTGCAACCCAGGATTTTGCTGGTGGTGCTGTCTCGGTGCCTCTATCGGGCAGCTGTTATGAACCCACTGAGAAAAACACACCCAGACTGAGGACTTGAACCCAGGATGTCGGCGGTGCTGTCTCGGTGCCTGCCTCTGACCCAACTATTTAGACTGAGAAAGACGACCAGTCCCAGGACTGGAACGCACGATCTCGGCAGTGCTAGCTCTGTGCCTCTGACCTGTCCCCCTGAGAAGAGACACGCAGACCCATGACTTGAATGCAGGATCTGAGTAGTTCTGTGTGTATGTTTAACTTTTTTCACACCGTACGTAGCCAACTGTGCCAGTCGGAGGTTCTGGCTCGGTGCGAATGATGCGGCGATCGGAATCAACCTCCATTGTGGCCGCCTCATTCCTTTTTAAAGCTAAGGATCGCGGTGTCCCAGGCTTACTGTGTCCGGCGCGGCCGAGATTGAGTTTCACGTCAATAAACTTTAGCCTGGAGGCCTGGCGCAGAGTCAGGCGGTGTAATGTGACCATGACCGGTGGCGAGGGCGTCCCCTGCCTTGGGAGAGCTATTCTCAGCCCCTTTTGTGACGCCCCTTGCCGACCTTGGGAACCACGAAAGCAAACATAAAAATACCAATACAAACACTAAATTAAGAAAGGTCAAAGTACAGTTATTCCTCGATCTACAAAAACTCAATTTACGGAATTTCAATGTAATGTAAAGTAGATATTAGGGAATGAAGTGTACATAGGTTACGCTAAATTGGCGTTTACGGAATTTAGAATCTCTAACTCAATACACTTATTTTGAGTATTATTGTTATTAATCATAAAATTGTAGTGATTTCAAGCTTTCGTGACTGCAGTAATTCATACTCTTTGTTTTTTTTCGGTAAAGTCACTTATATTGAAAAATAACTAATACATCACGACGTTTCGATCGCAACACAAGCAATCGTCTTCAGGTGAAACAATACAGCAGGCAGACTGCTGAGGTAGGAATAAATGTAGCGAGAGAGCTACTGCAGCTAAAGGTTATATACGTTTGTGGTGGGAACAACCCAAGGGTAAGTGGGCATGGCTAGGCAATGGCAGAGCCAGGATTTTCAGGTAGGGGGGCAACCCCTCCAGCAATGAAAAATGATAGGAGTTGTTAGTAAGCGAGGACTTGTCCCTTGCTTTTTATTCTACGCGTGTGCGGCGATGGCGCAGTCATCGATCGAGGGTCAAATTCGAACCGCATGTGATCGGCATGGCGCTCGCTGAGGGTGTTTGCCTTCAGGGAAGTCGTGGACTGTATACGCAACTGCGCACAATTCTGAGTCACTTATAGCTGCTTTGCCGTTACTTATTGCCATTTATGGACTCGGACTCTTGTCCTATCATCTGGCACGTAATAATATGCTACACAGTGGCAGTGGGGGTCGCAAAATGCCGATTTATTACTAATAAACCCCAATGATCTGATCAAAATGAGGGATTTCGATCGGATCATTGGGGAGGCACAAGCAAACTTAGAAATGTGATGCAACTCAGAGAGTCGGCCAACACAACAGCCAACACTTTACCTGGTTGAGCAACGTCCTTCCAAAGATTGCTAAATTTTGCACCCACCTTCTCGGTTGAAGTAATGTCCGAGTTACGTAACTTCGCCGAAAGAACCAAGGAGTGTGAATTCCTGCAGTCACGAAAGCTCCAAATCAAGATTGAACCACTTCTACGGGGAGGATTTCCACACAACTCAGACTTGACATCAACCGAGAAGATGGATGAAAAATGTAGTTGTGTTGGCCGACTCTCTGAGTTGCATTACATTTGTAAGTTTGCTAAGTTTCTTTTTCTTTTTTTCTATCACCTTGTTCCCTCTGTAAATTTCACCCCCACCTTCTCGCCCGTTATGGCAGCTCCCCACCCCCTCCCCTCCCTCCCCCCCTCCCTCGGATTAGCCGAGGTATTCCTAGCTCTGCGATCTTACATTTACTTGCAAATGACATCTCTAGCCATGCCCACTTACCTTTGGGTTGTACCCACCACAAACGTATATAACCTTTGGTTGCAGTAGCTCTCTCGCTACATTTCTTCCTGCTTCAGCAGTCCACCTGCTGTATTGTTTCACCTGAAGACGATTGCTTGTGTTGCGATCAAAACGTCGTGATGTATTAGTTATTTTTCTATCTACGTGACCTTACCGAAAGAGCCAAAGAGTATAAAATTGTAGATTTATCATTAAATATGCGTAAAAAAAGGTTGTCTGTATTCTTAAGTGTGATCTTATATCTTGGGGCTGAATTTGTTTTCTCCATAGGAACGCATCTCCAGTTACATAATGAAAGTCAATGGGGGAAATGGGGTTTTATATACGGAATTGCGCATTACGGACAGGACGGCTGCGAGTGAATATTTTAAGAAATGGGCAAATAGCAATCTGCCGATGAAAATTAATTATTATGCTCGTGATGCTGTTGTTCAATAGTGTATGTAAGAATCGATCATCTGATAATGGTACATTGTAGCTGATGGCACAAACAAAACAAACAAATAAACACCAATCGGGAAAACATTCCAAGAAAAAAATAGGCAAGAATGTAATCTTGAACCAAAGCGATTCTTACATTCCATATATGGCAATCTTTTTAATCTATTGTCATATCGCGACCATAATTCCATTCAGATATCCACTCTGCCCATCATCACTGTTGGTACTTGCTGGTCTATAAAATGAGCACCGCTAAAATGTGGGAGTCAAACAATGGTTGCCCATTGGATCTTACTGTTCCTGCCACTGGTTCAGGCCTGGCCGTGCAGACGAGTGCTGCCCATGCTTGCTTGAAATGGGAGAAACTTGCAATGTTTGTTTTAAAATCTGCTTAACCAGGCACAGAGGAGGGTTCTGCTTGGGTCGTTTGGACAATCTTTTGCTGATATTTCACCATACGGTGGGAATGGGGGGGGGACCCGAGATAACCCAGCAATGTAAGGCATGGTCACACATCCCCAATCCAGAGCTCTTGAGGCAGGGCTCGGTGGGTCAGATAGATTTGTGAATCCCCCAGCCCGCTGGACTGGAGATGGCATCAATGTGAATGAGCTCGTAGACCCGTTTGTGCACACCATTGCACAATGCAGTGCCCTCGTGTACATGGGGTTTCTTTGGGCACTCCAGTTTCCTCCCACACACAAATTACTCGTGAAAAAGGAATTGGCCAAACATCCGAATGCAGAATCTTTCTAAAAAACCTTTGTAAGGCTTTCCTGGATAAATATTTCACAGTGGTTAGCACACTGCTCTGATATATGAGTGGAGGGTTATATTCGGAGCAGTTCTGACCACCCTGCTTCATCAACCATAACGGAGACAGCAATTGGAGGCCTTCAACCAATAGTGAATTTACAAAGGCCTGTAAATTATTATTAGTATTATAATGTATTGTTTGACAGATCTCCACATTTTCTTCTGCTTTGTTGTCTCATGTTGCAGGGAACCGGACGTCAGCATTGTAAGGAGAGTGTGGGGGAGAGCGTCGGAGTGAGAGCATCACAGCGAACAAGAGAGAGGGGAAGAGGGAAAATGTCCGGCATTGTGAGCCGCGTGTCCGAGGGCCAGACGGCCGTGAGCTGCTTCATCGCAGCTGCGAGCTTCGTGCTCTTCCAGGTGCTCTTCCACTGGGGCAGCGCCCTGCTGAGTCGCCCCTTCTGCGTCGACGTCGCCAAGATGTCGAGGCAGGCGCAGATCGAGTGGCACTCGAGGTGAGAGGGCTCCCCCGTCTCGTCTGTGGATCCGTATTGCCTGGCGCCAGGGCCGCGGCAGAGCCGAAGAGCGACTCTCCTCACTTTCATCACCACTGTCTCAATTATCCGTGGGCAGACTATCCTGGTTGTGGAATAACCATGCTTGCGAATAAAAGGAAAATAGAAATCGAAAATGTTACAGTATTCCACGCTCATTCACACCTTTTACGCCCATGCTGCTTCTATTATTAGCTGCTCTTCACTATTGACTCATGACCGATTACTTTAGGAACAATACAACCAGGTGGCGCACATTCCACAACTTCACCCGCGGTGTACATGGGTAAAATATTAAATACGTTGCACAGTCTTTTCCATGATTTCCATTAACGATGCTTTTTTTTTTATCCAGGTGACCCTTCCCCATGATCTCGGATATTTTAGAATTTACTGTACATACACACGTTGCCTCTTATTGGTGTTTAGCGTAACAATTACATTGTTTGGAAGTGCCCAGAGAAAACCCACCCTGTGCACAGGGAGAGAATGACTCGAACCTCCGCTAGGCAAACAAGGGCTCTCCAGAAGCAGCTTGCCTCATGCAGGCCATACTCTTTGCCCTTGAGGCGGTCGGGCGAGGGCTTGAGTGACCTCGCTGCTGTGGCCAATTCACTTAACGGTCTGCCCGGTTAAACATTTATGACGTCTGTTGGATGCGGTGCGGTGTGGAGCACAAACCGGGGTTTGGTCACCGGCCCCGTGCGCTTCCTTTATTTATAACCAGAAGGACGATGAGTTGTCGGGAGATCGCCAAGGTCCATTACCTCTTGTTGTTGTCATTTTAATAGCAACAATGGTAATAGGTTATGACGGAAAGCCTGAGCAAGTGCTTGAGACTCTTTGTTGGGAGGATCTTGCTTAAATTGGTATGTTTGGCCAATTCTTTTTTTTAAGGAGTAAACTGATTCAAATTCGTTTTTTATCTCGGGTTAGAGTGTGTGGTTAATACCTGATAATGCTGGATGTAATCCAGCTAAACGTCGTGTATAATTGTCAAAATTGTATTGCGCTTTCAGCAAACCTGTTCTCTGAAAAACAATCAATTGGCACGTTTGTCCGGGTGACAACTTGATTTGTTCGGCTGTGGTGGGTGGTGGCAGTTGCAAAGCTCTAATTGACATACCCAGACGAAAATTTTAATTATTAATCATAACATTGGTCGCGAAAGCCTATGTGTGAAATTAAAGGGCGTTTTTTTTTGCGTGGGTGGAAACCAAAGAACACAGGCTCAGTCGTGCGTACAACTGAATGTCTGCTTACTGCCATCTCCTGGCCATCTCACACCCCAGTGATTTGGAACGTTCACTGATATGCGTGATCGAGCAACCCTTGCCTCCCGAAGCAGTGCTATATTTGCCTTCACTGCAATTTGTTCCCTCCATTATCTTGATAACTAGCGGCTCTGGTAGCCACTTTCAGAGTGGGCTTTCTCCAGTCGCTTCCACACTATGTCCATCACTTCTGCTGGACACAACACGTCCCACCAGTGCACTATTTCACATCATCTAACCACGCCTTTCGTTCGCGGCGTCCACCCCGTTTACCTGCAGCCACACGGACGGCCATAGATGACCCATCTTCGCACCGGATGGTCTTCGACTTTCTCTCTCCACATAGTTGTGCTGGATTGGAGGCATGAAATGACACTTGCCTTGACCGCTTGTCGTTGTTCTTGTGGTTGAGAGTTGTTTCCACGTGCCTGTGCTGTTGCAGGGTGGTGTCCACTGCCCACGCCTGCATCGTGGGACCCATCTGCCTGTACCTGCTGTGGTTTGACGACGGCGTCAACGCCGACCCCATCTGGTGGGTGTCCCTGACTGATCCAATGTAGCCCAGCGCAGCATAAGTTGGGTCCTGCCAAGCTACCCACCAAAACAAATCCCTGCCTTTTCTAGCCCAGTGTATCCAAGGATAGCTTCAGTGAAGCTCATTCTCAACAGTTAAATCCAGCCAGCCTAGTCCAACCGGCCTTAACAAGCCCATCCCAGCTTTGCGTAGTCAAGCTTAAGTCGAACCATTTTAGCCTGACTAGTATAGCCCAGCGAAACTTAGCCTAGCCTATTGAAATTCATGCTAGCTTTTCTCACCCTACACTAGCCTCGCTTACCTTTGCCTAGTCTAACCCAGCATAGACTCTCCACAAAGTCGTGCTACTCATTTTATCGACCCTTGAGAGATGATGATGATTGTAATGGGGTCGAGTTAACTCCCGGTTGCTTTTTGAATTTAAGACATCACAATGATATTTTATTTTACCAGGTATAGCCCACTGAACTGTATAGCTCTTTTTCAGAAGCTGCTTGACCGCAAATGATAGCTCAACGAAGTGGCTCATCATGTGGATATTTATAGCCTCTAAATACTCTAAAACGCATATTTCTAAATGAGGACGGAAAAACTGGAGGACCTGGGGAAAATCCACGTGACCATGGGGAGAACATGCAAACTCCTGTATACCAGACAAGGTAGTTAACATCTCGCCACCATGGCGCCCCAATTGTGAGGTGACTCCTCTGACCACAGGAACAGGCAGCCATGTGGGGACAACCGTGAGCCAAAATTAACACTGCCCAAGTCACGTTACAGTGGTAATTCAATTACTTCTGTCGACAGCGTGCCTGGTGAAGGGCTATAAAAAAAACCCATCTGGACAGGCGATCTAACAATATCCATTTTTCTGTGAAAGCCCCACTGAGTCTCATGACTTTAGGACGTTCCTGCGTTGGAATGTTTATCCATTTTCTTTTCTAAACCCTTTCCAACTAAGGTCTAAAGTGTTTTGTGCATAAGCTCGGTCAACCATCTCGAATGGTGGAGCATGATGACACCCTTCAAGGTGATCCAATACGAAGCTTAAGTGTAAAGGTGTGTTGCGATTAGGAACTTACCCTATTGAAGAGCCGCTAAATTGATCACGGGGTTTTCCAAAAATAGAAGACAACACAGTAACAAGCACTGTTAGCAAATGTGCCATCTCATTGTGTGCTTAGAGATACCTGTTAGAAATATACAAATGCAATTTGCACCGAAGGTTACCCATTGGCTTTCATACTGCCACTTACAGACTCCTGAAGACAAACTCATGTTTGTGAGTGTGCCTCCATGCTACAAAATGCAGATCAGCCAGTTTGCCTACATTTGATTTATTTATTAGCTTTATTTTAATGAGCACAGAGTGGTAGTGCAGTGCGCACTGTGCTCTGAACCCAATAGCCATCAGCCGATGGAAAGAAGCAATGATGAGGTTCAGTGGCTTCAAGAGCATTGGCCACGTTGACCTCTTGACCTTGGTGAGAGCCAGTCTCCACGTAATACAATAACCACTTTATGAGACCTCCTTTGCCAGTAGCAAGATATAATAATAGGTTTTTACCCTTTTATCTGGCAACAAAACTGATACCTTTTTTACAAGGGATCCTGCTTGCATTAACCACAACACTTGTGGTCAAAATGCAAACAAAAAGACAACACTGATAATGTATGCACTGTCCTTGAAATTGATTGGTCCACACCCGAGACAGCTTTTCTTAGAGCCCAGTCTCACAGTGGTCATCTGGTCCAATAACCACTGTTTACTTCTCATGAGTGGTGATTCTTCTGTGTTTTATTCCTGGAACAAACTCTCACTGCGCATAAAACAATAATCTTCACTGACCTGCTTACATTCCTCCCTTGAGACCCATCTCTTCTCCCTTTCCTATCTTACTGCTACTCCCTGCTCCGGCCCCCCAGCTACGACCAGGCCTACCCCAAACCCCTGTCACTACCTGTACCCCAACCCCTACTTAACCGCACCCAACTGTCCTTACTGTCACCATAACTACACCGCGACTTTTAATAACCCCATTCTTTATTTTAACCACTTGTCTAATGTACAATTGTATCATTATTGTAAAGGCACTATATAACTCTACATATAAGATGATAAATAAAACCAATATAAGATGAGATTATCGTGATAGTAATGATGATGATGGCTATAGTTGACTTCAACTTGACCTTTGAGTTGTTATTGAATGCTCTGACCAAAGCAACACCTGGCCGGATGTGTCTGCAAATGTGTCTGTATACACAGTATTTATATACATATGTGATTGTGTGTGTGTATATATGGGGAGCGGTGGCAGAGTGGATAGCGCCCTGCACCATAAACCCAGCATCCTGAGTTCAATTACCAATCACAGCCAACACCAGTGACAATGATCTGAATCGGTCCTGGGCCTCCCGTAGGTTGACTCAGTCTTAAATAAGTACCTGGTGGGGTGTATAAACATCAGTACTGGGGAGACAAAGGTGGTTGGGCATGGTGCCGGTCACCCACCCCCTGGTGTGCCAGCCTTGATAGGTGCTCGCTAACAGCTCTTGCCCAAACAGTCTGTGAAGGCTATACGGAGGGGTCTTTGTATTTGTGTTCACATTAACATTAATTTGAGTTCTGTCCCACACAGGGGTGACCCCTCCAAAGTCCAGATCAGCATTGCCATCACCGCAGGATACTTGTTCTCAGGTGAGGTTCCACACACACGCACCGAAGCCACACAGACCACACACAAATCACACATACACTATCCCTCACATGTACACTAACCCTACCACGATTACTCTGATGCCAACTCTAAATTTAGCCATGACTCTAACGCCGATCGTAAACTTTGATCATAACGCTATTCTTCAGACTAAAGCTAACCGTGGCCCTAAGACTAACACGAATCATAGCCTAACCATAATGCCTACTCTTAAATCTACACCTCACCAAAATACTAACACTAACCATTTCCATAACCCCAATGCCATTTCTAGCCCTAAACCTCCCACTACCATAAACCTCAAGATAACTCTAATACTAATCCTCACCCTTACCAAAATCTGTACTCTAACTATAATACTCCAGGCCGTTTCTGGTGCCCGTTTGTCCCTGTGTTCATGTCCCCATGTGCCCCTGTGTACTTCCTCAGATCTGCTGGTGATCTTCGCCTACTGGCGCCTAGTGGGGGACAAGCTCTTTGTGCTGCACCATGCCGTCGCCCTCTCCTCCTGCTTCTACGTGCTGGTAAGCCTGACCAGGGCCAATAAAAGACTAATATCCCCCCGTATAGCCTTAATAGGCTGTTGGGGGAAGTGCTGTTAGCGAGCACACGAGGGGGTGAGTGCCCAGCACCACGCCCGGCCACCTTCGTCCCCAAGTGATGATGTTTACACACCACAACAGGTACTCATTTAAGGCTGAGTCGACCCAGGGGAGGCCCATGACTGGTTCAGATAATTGTCACTAGTGTTGGCCGTGAGTGGAAATCGAACCCGTGTCGCTGGGTTCATAGCGCAGCGTGTTAACCGCTGTACCACTGCCCCCCACCACCGTGTTGACCTGGGCCAACACGGTACCACCCAGTACCCCGCGGTACCACCCGGGAACATGCAGTACCACACACTGCCTTAAAGTGCCACACATCGGGATACTAGACTACACGGTGCCACATGGAACCATAGAATACTACACAGTGCCTTAGAACACCTATCTTGTTCCAAATTCCAATAAAACAGGCATATAATACAATACAGCGTAACGGTGCATATAGTGGTTAGTTCACTGTGATTGATGAACCAGGCCCCCACCCCTTCATCAACCTGCACTGACCAGCACGGTGAAGTATGGTCAAACAACCCCCATGATTGACAACCGTGTGGAGAGGGCTTTATTATTCTTTGCCACGGCCCTGACAAAGGGATGTCCATTATTATTTAGTGCGATAAATGCCACAAAGTACCATGTGATAACAAACCAATATATACAATACCTTAAAGATACAATGCATTACAATGAAATAAACCACACAATGCAATAAAAAAAATGTTCTGGCTCTCAAAATAGGAATATGGAATGTCCACCACAATCTCCACTCGGGGTCTGCCTGCTAAGATGAGCACCGCTCCACTCTCGTTGATGTTGTGGAGAGAAACCTGCATCTCGTTGGAGGAATCTGCCATAGTCACACAACTGTGAGGTTTCCCCGGGTAAGGGGTGAATTTATTCTGCATGATGAGCATTCATATAATTCGCCTTTCTTTTGTGCGTGGTTTTAGCAAGATGGTGTTTTGGCCTACTTTGCAAACTTCCGACAGATGGCGGAGCTGTCTACGCCATTCGTAAACCAAAGGTAACAACACCACACGCCTCTCCGTGTACACAAAGATACAATCCACGACTCAAACTGGCCGCTATTTCTTGATCAAAAATGCATCCGCAGCAATGCAGTTGAAATCTAGCATCGGTGAAATAAAATGGTGCCGATTCATCCTCGCAAATTCCACAATAATCATGAGCGTCATGACTCAAGCAAGCCTGAATCTGCTAATGAGGCACTTCATGTCAAAATCGTTACAGAGTTTGGTTGTGCTGGGTCACTTCTGCTGATATGATGCACTCACGGAAGGCCGTGGGGCCGATCGGTTGTGTTAAAAAAGGTTTTATATTTTCCGTGAAGAGATTAATACACGATGGATACGTATTGTCTGCTTATCGGTTTTGTCTCAAATCCCAGCGCATTGATAACATGATTTATTTATGATTTAAAAATTCATTTTTGCACTCTGGACTCCATATGTAGTAAAGTGATCCAAATTATAGCTTACCAAGATAGTCTATTACCAATATGTGGGTGAACTTTTTGGCTACCCTGTAAGTACATGCTTTGAGAAAGTGTTAATGTGGCAAGATTGTGTTGATTGTCTCGTATTTTTTAAAGTTTTAGGATTGTTCAACAGTATCGTTTTCAAACGAGTGCACACACAGGGTGGTCTCTTACCATCCCATCTCAATTTCAGAAGCATTGTGTTAATGTTGCCTATCTAATAAGAGGTTTTCATCAACATTTCAGTGAGATATCACTCACGGGCAAAGGAAAAGAAGGGAAGGGCCTTGAGCTCTGGCTAAGGGCAGGGAGTCGACAAGTACTGGTGGCGAGTGTGAAGGGAGTCACAGACGATAGGTGCAGCAGAGGGGAACGTGCGACCTCTCACTCACTTGAAGGTCGCTTGGAGGCTTCGACAAAAAAATCCATGGTGTCTGGAGCTAGAGTGCGTGGAGGAGAGTAGAGAGAGACTTGAGAGAGAAAATAGAGGCATGGGGGTGAGCTCATGGAGGAGCTTCATTCAGGCCACACTCTCCTCGCTGCGAAATAACCATTTTGGACCTGAACGCTGTCGACAATTCCTCATTGTTCCTTCTCCTCCTCTGCCGGGCTCCAGGTGGTTCCTGGAGGTGCTCGGCTACCAGAAGTCGTCGCGCGCCTACGTGTGGAACGGCCTCGCGATGTCCGCGTCGTTCTTCCTAGCGCGCGTCGCCACCATGCCCGTGTACTACACGCGCACACTAAGCTGGCTGGGCACAGAGGCCGAGGCCCGCCTCGCCTGGGGCCACCGCCTCGCTTGGTGGCTCCCTAGCATCACGCTCGATCTCATGAATATCGTGTGGATGAAGAAGATCGCCCGTGGGTGCTACCGCGGTCTGCGCCACACCTTCGGGAAGGACTCGCGGCCGAAAATAACGGTGGAGGCCACCAAGCGAATGCCAGAATCTTTGGCAAACGGGAAGACTGACTGACCGACCGACTGACCGACCGACTCGCGCATTAGTCTGGGTTTTTAATTACGATTCAAAAATACTGTTTGATTTTTATCCAATCCTATTTTTGGGTCAACGTTATTTTTGTACAGAATACTTGGGTGGTTTTTTTCTTCTTCAGAGGAGGCAAACAATGTCTGAAATCGCCCCTGAAAGTTATAAATGGTCGCGAGATGCGGGAATGGGCTAACGGGGAGATTTGTAACCAACGGCTCCATCTCCATGCACTCCACCAACCCTTCACCTCCGAGTCACTCCATTACGGGGGCTTGCCTCATCATGGCCAGCACGCCCTGGCAACGTTTTGAATTTGAACCCATTAAGCAGGTCAGTTGATCTTTAATGGGTAAACTAAGCGCTCTGTTGATGAGCGTTCTTTACGAGATGCCTTTTTACACTCCCGGGGTCACATTTAAATCGCGAAGCACAACCGTGCTGAAGCACTAACCAGAACGATTGTATTGGTAGACACTCCCAATATGTCCGAATGACGGGGGTGCGGCCACAACCTTTGTGAGCTTCGACACGGTTATCCTGGTTTTTCAGACAAAAAGCCCATGCCTTAATGTGCCCACTTGTTAAGATATGATGCAATTAGAAAAAAAACAGCATCTACACACCATTGAGTATCAAGATGCCACACTTCAAATGTGAAAAGCAGGTGCAGCGCTGAATTAAAATACACAGCCCGGGGGGGGGGGGGGGGGGGGGGGGTGGGTGGGAGGGGGGTGGTGGGAGGACACACCGCCCTACGCGTCGTGCACTCGCTCCATGCTGAACAGGCCGACGGTGCTCAGGGTGGGGGGCCTACGGGCCCCCAGACCAGAATAATTAACTTAATCAGTTCCAACTTGTCAGTCCCATGTTTCCTTTGCCTGTCCTTCTGTGGTCGGTGTTCTTGTAAAATCTCACGATTCCAGCTGTCTTGAGCTGGTTGTATTACCCGCCTCTTTATCTTGCCGTGCGATTTGTTCGCTTGCAGTCCCTGTCATACAAAGCGCTTTACACCCTCCTTGGCACCCTTTGTGTGAGACTCTGGAGGCTAATTGTCCACCTTTATCTTCTCACCTAATTTCACGGATCAGTTTTGTTACGTTAAAGTGTTAACCGTTCACTGTTAACCATTTACCATTCTCCGTTGAGAGCTGCCGATGGTGATATTGGTTCACAGTATAGTTTAGTCTAAACCTTTCGTAAACAACTTTTCATTGTTTTGTCGCTAACCTGTCCTTTAAGGGGACCACTCCTACATTCTCGTGTCCATCTTCTGGCTTGGAGTCATCCACTTAGGTTACCAACCTCTGGGTGCCAATTCATTGCCCTTTTTGGTAACCCACCCTCCCCTGCGCTGACAAATATGGCAGGAGCACCACGCCACATAGAGTCAACTCTATTGGTGTTGTAAAAAATTTGGAACTGAAAAAGCTTCATCGCTTTGGGCGGTACCATTTTCAACTCTGGTCCATGGACTGTAACCCAGAGTAAGCCAAACCTGCGATGGCAAACGCAGAGTCTGGCCCCAAGAAGGTTCCGGACGTGAGCACTGCTTTATTTAGGCTTTTAACATTCACCAATTCGTCGATTCAAATTGATTCTTACACTCAAAATACATGCATCATATAATGTGTGCAAGAAATTATTTCTAATCCATTAATGTGGTGTGCGATTTATTTTGTGGTCGGCCTACAGTTTCAAGGAAATCTTTATAGCCACTGTCACACCTTGGATCAATTACAAGTTGCAATTGTGTACTTCATGAATTACAATCGTGTTGTAATCGTTCAGCTTAAAATGCTGCTGTCGTTTATGCCAGTTCTAGCCACTATAGAGTCTCCCATGTACGAAATGGGAGAAAACATTATTTGCGATTGGCTTCATCACTTTGAACAATGATAATTCATAGAATTGTGGCAGGGGTGATTTGTTCCTTAAGCTGGTTTTTGGTGTCGGTCGCATGGGCTTTGACTGACCCAGCCTTCAAATGTCTTGCTTAATCATTTTGCTAACTCGCAATAACCTGCTGTGTGTGCGCGAGTAGTTCAACTCAATCTGTCACATGTCGAAAGCGGTGATGGTGGTGGTGTGTGTTTGATTTAGCTCCGCTTATGCTGTGATGCCCAACTTGGAGCTTCTCTCTCCACCTCGCCTTGTCGTTCCCCACCCCTCTGACCCCCCCCCCCCTCCAGCTGCAGTGGGGCGTTGTTACTGACAATCAAATCAGCTATTTATTGATGTTGACGTATTAAGTTTTCAATTCGTGTACAATGGGTACGAGAGTTCTGTATTTGGGGGTTTGGGTAACGTGGAAGGCAGCCTTGGCAACACGTTTGAGGATTACAGGGCGACAACAGACAGATCACCGGCCGTTTGGTGACTCTTGACAGGATAAAGGCTCATCAGCCCTGGCAATGGACCAGCAGACTGTGACATCATATTCTGTTCAGATTCCCAGTTTGTTTGATCACGTGCTGATCTCACCAGAAAGTGATGCCACAGGAAGAGCCGCTTGCTACAGGAAGTCGAGGCACTGATCACTCTGCCATCACCCGATTCTCCTGCGGGTTTTGACGGGATGCCTTGGGGCGACGATGAAGAAAACGAGCGCTGAACTGAACGGGGGCGACTTTTGCGGGTCCCGGTTACTCCGTGAGAATTGCGTTGTGCGGGGCCGGGCTTTAAGGTCTGCAAGAGAGACCCAGCGCCGACCCTCCGTGTCTGACCTCGTGCGGGGTCGTGTGAGTAGATTAGTTCGTGCAACTGATGTGTCTGACGTGCGTGTGCGTGTCTGTCTGTGTGCACACGCCACGTGTGCAAAGCACCACTAATACAGTCGTCGGGCCCATTCTATTCCGCCTGCTGCCCCCCTACAACCATAGTGCCTTAACACTGACGACACGGGTACACTCACAAGCAGGGTACACGCGCTGCTAGAACAATTGGTGGCACGTGCCACTGAACATGGACCGTACCATTTTGTATGTGGTGGATGCCTCAGTGTGTGTGTGACGTTTAATTTGGGACCGAGAAGGGGGTGGTGTAGTAGTGGTGGTGGTGACAGCAGTGGAGCGCGAAACCGCGTTGTGTTTTTAAGACGACCAAGCCAATAAAACAAAACTCTTGTCTAGGGCTGTGTCTCCATGGCTCTCCGGTATAAGTTTGCAGCTTCCAATGGTGATAAAAACAACAAAACTTGAAAGTTATGTTAACGAGCCCCCAGCATTGCACTGCTCCATTGATGTACTTGCAGTCGGTAAAGCCGAACATTCGAATACATCACTGTAGAGATGTCACGAGAGGGCGCTATGACACCAAGTATTTTATTTGAATGTTAAAGCTTCAAAATTCGTATCGGAGGAGGCACCCAGCCTTAGCAACAGGCACGAGATATAAGAGCTGGACAGTTGCACAAATCGGGCAACCTTGGTCACATGTTCACATTCATCACCATCCAAGCGTGGATTAAAAAGTTCGTCTGACTGCATCCGATACCAACTACCGTATAGTCCCTAATTGGTTGACAAACGTCGCCCAAGTGAAAGCCACTTGATACAATTGATGATCCACATAATTATAGTGTCCAAAATGTACATCCCAAATGTGGAACTGCCCAGCTGTTTGAATTTTATTTTGGTTTGTGTGTCCCTTGACACCTGAGTGTGATGCGTCCCTGCGTCAGTGCCACCATGCCATGCTGTGGCCAGATGCCAGCCCCACCTAGCACCACCTTCCTGCTTCTCTGTGCCGCTTCGTTTGTGCCTTTTCTGCTCACGTGTTATGGAGAGCTTTTCAGCCAAGTTAAATCAAATGTATTAACAATGAGTCACTTAAAAGCTACCAGTCATGACTGCAGCAGTGGTTGCGGTGGTGACGGTCTTTTGTGAACGTTCCATCCCCACGATGTGAATGCTTCTAGATTTGAAGCTTTCGTGACTGCAAGGATCCATATACTCTTTGGTTCTATTCGGTAAAGTCACGTAGGTAAAAAAATAAAATAACAAAAATCACGACGTTTCGGCCACAACACAAGTGGCCTTCGTCATGACAGCACGGTCCCTTCACCTGATGAAGGCCACATGTGTTGTGGCCGAAACGTCGTGATTTTTGTTATTTTTTTTTACCTACGTGACTTTACCGAATAGAACCAAAGACATGTGAATGCTGTCCAATGCTCACGGTCAACAGGTCACCACGGCTTATGCCACTGAGGCCACCCCACTTCACTGATGCTTCCTTCTGTCGGTTCTTACCCAATTGACGCCCCAAAGTGGGTGACGATAACTGCTTGTTTTACATCACACATTTGTTATGGACTGGTTTCAACTTTTAAATAAGGTAAGAGGCCAAGTTCCATATCAAAAGGTTTGATCAAACGAGCAAAGGGTGGTGGCGCTCATCTCTAGATGGCCCTGAACCAGTGGTGTAAGTTCCACATTCCCATGGCTGGGGACAGTTATCCACGCAACCACTGTTAAATAATTACCTCTGTTCAGAGTACTTTGTGGTTATTTATTATCGTCACTATCAGGGCAAAAGCTGTATTTTGAGTGTGACGTTTAGACATGTCTTAAGCTGTGGTTCTCATATTGTAGTTACGTTGAATAATTTCTTAGTTCGCTCCAGTGATTATATGTCAATCATGGCTAATCAAAGTTAGGCAGGACTTTACCTGACCCCTACGACCCCTCCCGCCAAACAATGGTATAGCCTTTTGATTTGCCAGGCGGCACATACAATCAGTGCACGCTGGGTGACAGTGGCGGGGTTTATCATGTTAATGGTGCGGCGGTTTCGATGATCAGTTTTTCTAGGAGGTTCAAGTTGGTGTTCATGTCATGAAAACTTATCCAATTATGATGGCTCAGGCGGGGGAGTGTTTCATGTTTGCCAATCACAAGATCTGTTTTTGTGTTGAGAATTTGCGATCACGTGAAGTGACTCGACGAGATTGACACATGGAATGGCACACACGGATGTGCATGGGGTGGCTGGAGTTTAGAAAACAAGTGCAGACACACCTTAATAACCTGACCCTAAATGAGGAATATTTTGGAGAATCCGGAGATTTAAGGAGATGGGTGTGGGTGATGCATTTGGATGGGTGCTACCGTTAGTGTGCAACCCAGCCCCTAAATCTCGTGTAACTTCCTCACTTTGCTTCCCAACGCCAACTGTGGACTCCTCGCTGTGTCGGAGACCCCATCCCATTTAATTAAAGGTCTGAGCGTGAATCTGTGAAGCCGTGCGAGTCGTCATTCCAACCGGGCACGTCACAGTGTTATTCTGCTCATATGAGCAGTCGGGCGACGCTGAGGTGTCCGCCACGATAAGAGAATGGCGAGAGTATGCCCAATGTGGAGATTAAGTGATGGCATCGGCCCATGTGCAGGTGGAATTTCGCATCGCAGGACCGAGAGTTTTCGACAGCTTGGGTGGTACATCAGTAGATTGATGGATTGCTGTTGATGATGACATGTTCATAAAACAAAAATGACATTTACTCAATCTTGATTTGAATCTTGATTTTAAGCTTTCGTGACTGCAGGAATCCATACTCTTGGTTTTTTTTCGGTGAAGTCACGTAGGTAAAAAAATATATATCACGACGTTTCGATCGCAACACAAGCGGTCGTCCTCAGGCAGAAAAAAATATCCAGCAGTGGAACTGCTGAACCAGCGCTCATTTACTATAAATATTAAGATAAAATCGGCGTTCATAATAGAGTATTTGTTCAACCGTTTTGCCAGTCCCATTGCTGGCTGAAGGCCTCCTCACCACACTGTCGGTCATTGGAGTTGTTTGGCCCGCATGAGTGGTGATGCTGCAATGGGCCTATTGGGTCTGGGCGCGCGACCTCGTCGGCGTCGATAGTGAAGATTCTGGCATGGGCCACGGTTCTTCCTGCACAAACGTGTTACGAAGGCTCGGTAGCCCTCCCCCCGGGTGGGGCCCTTGCTACCGATAACCGGCTGGTTAAAAATCTGAAATGCCGATGCAAAATGAGTCACGAGGCTTCGCTCTCCGGATGACAATTGCAACTTCCAAATTCGGAAATGTTGAACTTATTTCGGCACCGTACATTAGGCAACCATGCGGGATCGGAGGTGTGTGAGGGCAGCCTCCGGTGGACAACGTTGTTACAATCACGCAGCAGCCACAATGCCATTGCCGGGATAACGGATTATGGACGCATACTCGTGTTTGTCAACTTCATATTCTTTCAGTCCTTAAGGCATTCCAGTCCACCAGGAGAGGTGCAGCACGCATCATCGTTTGCTCTCCGGCTCCCGTCTCTCGGCTTGCCTCTCTCTTCTTGCTCGTCGATGATCCCGCACCGTGCTTCTCTCAAGACACGGTCGGCATATTCCGCACCTCCGATTAGCACGTGATGGCTCCGTACGGTGTGAAAGAAGTTCAACGTACGTAGATACATGCCTCTTCGTCTTCCCTGCATCATCCTCACTTATATTTCACCTCTGCTGCTTCCTTTTCTGTTTCCTCATCTTTCTTGGTTACATGCTGTATCACCCCCCCCCTCCCATCATCTTTGTCCATAAAACCATCTCCATTTCTCGCATATTTCTCGTCTCGCCCTTCTCTCTCACTCCTACATCATCCTTTCTCTGACAATTTCTCAGCTTCTTGCAATAGATATGCCGTCACACATCACTCATTTGACAAAATAGCTGTTTCCCGTTTGCCGTACACTCTAAAGGCATGCGCATTATGAGCAAGAGACTTAAAGTGTTGTAACGATTCGGAAGGCTCATGGCAAGCGTACGTCGAGTGAACTAAAGTTCAATAACGTCGAACAAATCTAAATTCGTGCATAAAGATAACGGACGCGTGCGGCTCGGTACGAATTAAGCGATATCAATGTCGTTCGAGTTATCGTCATCGTCTGTAGCAGCAACGGCCATCGGCACCATCGGTAACAGCGGAACCATCGACAGCAGAACCATTATATCCATAGGTTTTTTGGGGGGTGAGATCGCGTTAAAACCCACTACCACCCAACTAGTCAGGGTTGTCACGTCAACAGAACATGCCAATTCGTTACTCGTTGGCTTTTAACGACATTTCTATATTTACGCGATCCAACCCAAAAACAAACCTCTCATGGATATTGGTCGCGAAGGCCTGTGTTAAACAACCATTATCGTTAATAGCGGCAGCACTCATCACCACCACCACCAATGGGCCCACTGCGCACGATGATCAGTCTGTCGTTAGCCGAATACGGCATTTGGTGTGCTATGAAGAAGGCCCATTGCCAAAAACATCGCCGATTGTACATTTGTCGAAAGTGGTGTTATTGACTAATGCGAGGTTTTTTTGTATCGTTAGACGTCGCTATGGTCGCAGTTTGTACAATTGGTGCGCAGGTAAAGCGGCGAGACGTCGGATTTGAATTCGTGACACAGAACGCTGACGTGGATCACAGTGCATCTTTTGTTCATCTACACCGCCTCATTTGACGTCTCTGCCTCCGTGGTACATCTCTTTCACTCATCCACGTAGTTTTTCATTCATCTCATTCACGTAGCTTTTTATTCATCTCATTCACTCATCCACAAAGCTTTGCATTTATTCCATTGCGTTTTTCTATTTTCTGTATCACTTCTCAGACGACTAAGATCTCTTTATCTGTTCTCTCAAAACATCTCTTGCTAGTTACTGCAGATCCTTGGCTGGACATACATTTCATGACATCACATTAATAGTGGCGTGTAAAACTACACGCAAGCATACGCACACTTCACTGTGCGAGTGGATTTTCTGGGACCCTCATCAGCGGCTCCTTATGGTTGAACTCTTGACATCATACCAGGGATATGAAACCTAACACCCATCCAGAGGCATCTCTCAATGATCCTTCACCTCACGTCTCCTTTCCCCTCCATGCGCCTCCCTTCACGTCGCCAGGTTTCCCTGCATGTTCATTCGCCTCTCCATTTCTCTTCATATCCACGATTCTATCAAGGCTCCTTTCTCCTGCCAGTCTCCACCTCCCCATGCCACTACCATAACTGACTCGCCCATCCATCAGATCAACATGTCATTTATTATTTAAAATAAACACCCCACATGCAAATACGCGAACACATTTCCCCCCCCCCCCCCATATAACGTTCAACAGACTGCTGTAGCAAGTGTTGTTAGCGAGCACCTATTAAGATTGGCATAAAACACATGTACACACATAAACGGGGGACATGGGAATGCTTGGGGGAAGGAAGATTTGGGGCGATTATATACAACACTTGAATGAGGAGACTCTTCCTGCCCGTGTTGGCGTCACAGCTCGAGTCAGGGGGTTGTTGTAGTTCACGTTCAGGGGTAGACGCAAGGCTGTGCTGATGCCCGGAGGAC